CATTAGGTCTGAGCCAAGTTTCATTCACTAGAAACACATCAATATTATGGTGATTAAGGAAGTTTGCAACTTCAACGTTCTTGTGGCGAATACCGTTGGCGTTAAAAAATGCGAGATTTAAACTGCTGGGGGCAGTGAGGTGAGTTCTTGAATTACTGTTAATGTGGTTAAAATTCATAATTGATGCTTGATAAAAGTTCAAAGGCTTCCCAGCCGACTTGGATTTTTTCCAATATTGATTTAGATTTTAAGAACCGCTCGAAGAGATTTTTTCCTTGCAGGAATAATTTCTTCAGCCAAATTATGAAATCGGAAACGGAGCCTAAGTTCTCACTTTCGACAGCTGCGTCCTGATTGGTGGATGAAGCATTCTGCTCATTAACATTTTCACTGCTATTTTGGGTTATGTTTCTTCTTGGCAAGAGGTGGGAAATTTTCTAAGTTGATATCAGGGGGATTATTTTTTGAAGTTTTTCTCGCTTCTTTTTGGAATTCTTTTTCTGCAATTTTTCTTTTCAAGTTATCCGGATGCATTTCGCAACCACGGTACGAACTAATGTGGGGGCCTCCGCAGAGGCAACATTTGCCGGGTAAGTTTCTGTCTTTTGTGCATGTAGTAGTAATATGGTTTTGCCCGCATTTTAAAACACCTGGGCTTGTGCTTACAGTGAGCACGACTGTGGCCATACCTCTGACAGTGGTGACACTGTTTGTGTCCTGGAGTGGGTCTGAAGGGAGTAATTTTAACAGCCAAATCTAGAATATGCGTTATGTTGTATATTTTCTTGCCTTCTATGCTGCGTTTGACTTCAACCATGAAAGTGGGTAGTTTGACAATTTCATTGTCTATTTTCTTGGTAACTTGTTTTACTGTTTTAACCGGGATGTTATTATCTATTAGTTCTTCCATAATGTCCTCGGGTTTGGTGTGAACAGATAATTTTTTGATTACAACTCTTATCGGTTTATCCTGAGGGAGAGGGAAGGTATGGTAAGGAATTTCCTTTTCGTCTAGGTATCTCGTGACTTCACGATACTCAGTGTCCGATTTTACTTTAATGTGGATATCACCACCTTTCTGTACACATTCCATGGATATGGTAAATTGCTTAATATTATCTCTGAGGGCTTTCCAGTCCGTGACATCTGAAATGATAATCGGCGGAATTCTGTTAGCCTTTTTGTTGGGCGTAATGAAATCACCTTCATTATTAGTACTGCCTTCTTGTGAGTTTAGCGAACTAACATTTGTAGTGTCCATTTTATCATCTATTTTTAGTGAAGCGTATTTATTTTTGGTTGACGTCATTGAAGCCGTTGCTGCTTTCACTAAGTGTGCGTTTGTGGTATTTTTTGGGTGTAATCCATTTTTCATTATAATTATTTATTTTGCTTATTTCCTGAATAACATTTGAAACTGGTTTGGGTTGCTTTGTAGTTTGATTAGATGTCGAATCATTGCTAGTATTAACTAACGGGATGCTACCGCAGATATTTTGCACTGAATCTCCTGCAGCTTGTTTAATCGCTACACACTTCTCAAGCTCTGCATAGGTTTTTTGAAGCCATTGCTCCATTTCTGGGGTGATTTTCCGTAAGCCATTTCTAAGCGTGTTAAACGCTAAGTTAAACTCAGCCATAATCTGCCTACAATCCTCAATCGTGCCATGTTTAAGAATATTCTCAACAATATCGCGCTTATTAAGGACTGCTAAATCATTTATCTCATCCATATTTACCAAGTCAAGCTATCCTATCGATGTACAAGACAATGTCCATAATGAAGGCGTAGAAATCAAAAATATACTCACGAACTTGTCCAGATGAGCTACTCCAAGTACACCTCTCGAAAGGGATCAACGAAAAACACTTACTATTTATAAATAAATTTCCTTCACTTCCTAAATTTTAGAATCACACTCGTAGAGCAAAACAATAATACGAACTCAAACAACTTTCGTATCGAACTGACTGTATTGAGAGGTTTTCCTCCTTTTTATAAGATTTTTAAATCGCGCGCGAGAACTTTCTGGAACTTTCTCGAAATCAAAAAGAGATATTTATTATATGTCACATGCACGCGCTCTTGTATTTTCAATTTTCCGGCTTAGCTCTCTTTTATTATTCGTAACGCGCTGCACAGCGCGGGAAATAAAAACCATTTAATTTGCAAGTCTACTAACATTAGCTGTTTAAATACAAAATTCGTAACAATATATATATATGAAAATGCTGCAAAATGGAAAAAAAATAAAAAATACAAAATAATATAAATATAAAAATAATCTCCTTTTATTGAAACTTCAATTAAGAACTCTTCAGGGGAAAATTAATTAAATATAAAAATAATCTCCTTTTATTGAAACTTCAATTAAGAACTCTTCAGGGGAAAATTAATTAAATATAAAATAATCTCCTTTTATTGAAACTTCAATTAAGAACTCTTCAGGGGAAAATTAATTAAATATAAAAATAATCTCCTTTTATTGAAACTTCAATTAAGAACTCTTCAGGGGAAAATTAATTAAATATAAAAATAATCTCCTTTTATTGAAACTTCAATTAAGAACTCTTCAGGGGAAAATTAATTAAATATAAAAATAATCTCCTTTTATTGAAACTTCAATTAAGAACTCTTCAGGGGAAAATTAATTAAATATAAAAATAATCTCCTTTTATTGAAACTTCAATTAAGAACTCTTCAGGGGAAAATTAATTAAATCTTCACAAAAGTCCATTAATGTGTTTCGAAAACGTGTTTCGTTCTCCTGTTTCACTTGAGATCAAAAACCGTAAAAAGAATCTATTAAATCTTCATTTAAGACACTAAAAATTCATATAATATCAAAACCTCGAATCTCAAATGTATCAGGATTTTCTCTACACACGTATGAAACACTTGGTAAAGCGAATAAAAACATAACATTGTGCTAAATTCACTACTAAAAAAAAAAATTCAAACTTTTACATTATGTAAAATGACTACTCAAAAAAATCAAATTGATCTAAAATCATCATATGCAAATTCGAAATTCAAAAGCAAATAACTATAAAAGTGAAATAAATATACTTTAAACCAAATTATCATTTAAACGCCACTCAAAAACTGGGTTGGTCCCGAATTATGCTAAACTATACTTTTAATGCCAAGGAAACGAAAGACTTTTCACAAAGATCCTTTAAATAATAAAATCAAATCTGAGCTTTATCAGCTAAATACTGGAAACCAATTGGAAACAAAAATTGAAAAAACACAAACTTACTGAAATCTTAGGATGAGATCCTAAGTGTAAATGTACTTAATTCTTCAGACGAAGAAACTTTCTTTGTAAAATTCAAAACTGTTCTGTAGAATCAAAAATTTGTAGTTCTTTAAGAAAGAATGATATAAGGTTCAAAGTGTACAATAGCATAACAAGTATTTAAACATGTATTTAAAATGTCCTATCCTGTTAAACTTTGTGTGCGGGGGGCGCAAACGTTGGGTGCGCTCTATAAGATCACCCTACTTTCGAGTAGGGTGATCGTCGATTCCAAAATGGCGGAGTAAGAAACACCTAAAAGATAGATATATATATATGCAGTATTTTAAGTACGTAGACGACACTAGTACCTTTAGTATTCGACACTCGTAGTGTCCGAGGGTGAAAGGCAAGATGACGAAGATAACAAAACTGGATTTTGTCGAATCACCAATCTTTATTTTCCCAAATATCAAATGAGCTTGGTAGGCATTTATTCAATCACAGTTAAATACAATAATTTTTACGTACACTGGTTTTAAAAGTACTACATAAACAGCTTAGATAGGAAAGCGTAAGCGGCGAAGAAATGTTTGCATGGCGGAAGTCAGGAAAAGGAATGACGTATAGTTGCTTGCGAAGAGTATTTACACTACGTACGTGCATAAACATAGCTAAACTGCTATTGGTTAATTTTTAGGTTGTTATGTAACGTGGAAAAATATCGAATTTGGGAGAACAGATCAACTTAGTGGGAAGATCACCAAATTTAGAATAGTCAATTTTGAGGCCGCCAATCGTTTCTTAGTATTGCATTTTGTTATATCTTATCTATATATACTTGTATATATATATATATATATATATATATATACGAAAAAACATAATAAGAGGCTAAAATTAAAAGCAAATTTTTATACCCCTCCTGCGCTATAGAATTGAAGTAAAATAGATTTGACTCCAATTTACTTTTAACTTAGAATCTTTAAGTCTCTCTCTATATATATACATATATATATATACACATTTGGTGTTGCCAATTGCAAAGAAAAAGGAAAAGAGAGGTTCACAACTTCATGTTATAGCAGTCTGATATACAAAATTTCAACTCTCTAAGACAAATAGTTTTTGAGTTATGCGAGGTATGTATACTTTCTTACGTACAGGAGTCACAAAAAAAATCCTTTTGAATCCGAATCCATTTTAATCCATTTTAAAATCTGCTTTGGAAAAAAAAAAAAAGAGTCCTTTATTTTGTCCGTACATACAGACTTCAAGGAAAACATTCCTGCGAATGGGTTCCGAAATGTCAAAATGAATATTTCAGTTGAAATATGATTCCCGAAATATTTCGCGATTAGAATACTTCTTTACTTCGCACTAGTAAGTAAAAATCTTATGTTTGCCAAATCACACAAAATCCTCTAAAATTCGCCAAAGAAACTGAGGATATTCGCGTTACAATAAAGTTACTGCCTTCAGTATATCCAACGATATTCGGCAGCTTATGAACATAAATATTGCCTTTAATATAGAATATTTCATAAAGAGCATCAGAATGTTTTTATAAATTATACATGAAAATATATTCTGTATATTAAATAATGAAATATAAAGTTATTGCTAATAGCTTCACACCCTTTTTCAACCTTTCTTAGATACAAATATAAATATCTAAATCAAACACTTTACTCAACAATTTGATAAATCTCACAGAAAAAATGCTTTAATCAAAATGTCTTAGAATTTGCTTCTTACCACCAACTACTAAGGAGTAGCAAGCATGGTGCCGTGAGTGCTGTTTGTATCCAAAACCAATCTCTTAGCAAATAAGCGAAAACCGGAAGGCTGACAATTCCGATGCACCAGCCAAATTCTATAGCAAGACCATAAAATGATCTGCAGTCTGGACCAACGACTTCCATAACTAGGAAAGGAAAGTTCAGTTAATTAAAATACTATTTTGCACTGATTGTAAAATTTCCTTGAACGGCTAGTAATTGCTTTAGTGCAATACATGCAATAATTTGTTTACAATGCAGCATAAGCAACCACTTTACGCATATTAAGACTTTCAAAGTGATAATTTGAACTTTGATTCATCTGCTTCATTCTGTAACCTTGTGAACAACATTAAGAGGAATTGTAACATGCAAATTTCTTAGCTCGAGACTTTCAGAAGAACAAGGAGCAAAGAATAAGAAGTTAAAATTCTACGTAATATTTGCATTGCATTAGATTCCTCGGTCTGTAGTCAAACTCTTCGATGGCGTTATTTCGAATGTAAAATACAAAGGAGGATGAAGCCTTCAACACCATCACTACCCCAAATTTTAAGCAATTTAATTATTATTTTTTAACGTTATTTAACCCTTAGATGCATGAACTTTTATTTTTAGTCCAAAGGAGCTTTGTCCCTGAGGGACTATTGTTTTCGTTTTGCGATTTTGCATCAAATCACTCTGAATGTCCGTTTCACTTTTCAAACTGTTGCCACCAAATATCATCGCCCTGTATTATATTTGAAGAAATTAAATAATAAAGAATGTGCATAAATGTATGTATGTTCCTCGTATTGTGATGAAACAATGTTACCCAGAGCCATCCAATTTTCAATGACGTAATCCTACTGCGAATATGGGCATGTGGAAGACCAAATTTTAAATTTGGAATTTGTTTTATTATCGATTTCATATTTTGTAAAACTTTAAGGAATTTTTGATTAACAAACTCAAGGATTTCAAAGCAAGCCATCGCACGTTGTACAGAAAATGTTTTTTATCTCCAGCGCATGAGACTGTGTATCGGAAATTCTAAAGATATGCTCAACTTAAAATTATTTTGCGATATTGCTCTTGAACTGAATAAATAAAGGTAACACACAAAAATGTTTAAAAAAAACGCCGCTTTAGAAGTAATTTTAAATCTGAAACCTTTCAGATTTTTTTTATTTTTATTTTTAAAGGTCGCTGGTGGGCCTGTATAAGAAAAAGTTTCAATCAGAAAGTCATCCCTCTCCTCAGCCAGATAGCCCTAGTGTGCTTTGCCATAATTAATTTACCAAACCAAGATTCGAGGAACGATACAATTCTTAGAATCCTAACTTAAAAAAATTATAAAATATTTTTAAGGGGATAACGGAAAAAACTGGGGGAATAAGAGTATTGAATACATGAATATAAAAAATATTCAAAACTCGAGGAGCTTTAGAATCATTAGAATCCTAACTTTAATCTTTAAAATCCTGACTCAAAAAATCATCAAATATCTAAATTTAAAAACTTTTTTTAGTTTTATTAAAGGTAAAGGTATAAGTTGAAGCAAAGACGGCGCTTGTGCATCCAGGTAGGCATATTGGGTGTATCACCGGGATTTGCTAATTGCTAAGCTTCCGTCCCGGATGGACATCCCAGAGTGAGGTCCAAGGGTGTGCTCCCTCATCCCTTACCACCCACGCTCTAGAGAAGATTTTCCCCAGCTGTGTATTTTGAGTGCCCCCTTGTTGCACGAATACTATACGCTTACAAAATGTATACCTTCTCCGGGACTCGAAACCGAGCCCTCTCGGTACTCAGCCTCTCTAACCACTATCCTGTCTGGACGGCAATCTAGGAAAAGCATTCATCAGAAACCGAATGCTCTTATTGTTGTTTCAGTGCTACTTGGATCACAAATATCAGTCTCATGGTGGCACAAATACACACTAAGGTATACTTCGATGAACTCTTAAAATAAACAAGTTTTTTTTCTTTTAATTTTCTGGCGAGAATTAATATTTATATATCTGTGTGAATTTTCGAAATACCATTTTCTTGCCTTTACTTGCTTTCATATAAATTAAACTTGAAAAAAAGTATTTGAAAATTTTTATACTGTTATTCAAACATATTTTTTTTTTTTTTTTTTTTTTTTTTTTTTTTTTTTTTTCGAATTAGAATGAAAAAAAAAAGAACTCCAGGCTTCATGAGTTTCAATTATGCATTTCTTTTCATGCAGAGTGATTAAAAATGTCGTGCATTTTCAAGAATTTTGGAAATTCTGAAGTTTATAGTAATAGAAAATTGTTTCAATCCGTGACTCACTTATAATTCTATAAGAAATATATCACTTGAATTTCAAGTTGTAGTTTATGCTCAAGTTTAAAAACAATTTGTTTGGTGCAAGATTGAGTTTGTTTGGTGTAAATGGAGATGAGTTTTCCCAAGCGGAATGAATTTTTATGATTGAGCATTACTTCCCAATGCATAAATTTGAATGCGATGCCATGTTTCTCACACTCTTTGTTGGTGGTGGATTTCGGGACACTGCAAGCTGTGGCTCACTAGGGCTGTTACGACAATGAGTTTACGTTTTATTATAATTTAAGAATTAAATAATGGAGACCATGCATAAATGTATGTATGTTTCTCGCACTGGAATAAAACAAACCTAAGGCCATCAAATTTTGAATAACGTAATCCTCCACCGAATATGGGCATCTAGAAGCCCTAATTTTAAATTTGGAATTTCTTTGTTATTGATCGCATATTTTATAAAACTAACAAATTTTTGGTTAACAAACTCGAGGATTTCAAAGCGAGCAATGGCAACGTTGTAAAGAAAAAACATTTTTATCTCCAGAGAGCGATACTGTGTATCGGAAATTTTAAAGATAGGCTCATTTTTAAAATTATTTTGCGATATTGCTGTTGAATTGAATTTTATGTTTTTAGTGCGAAGACCATGATACTTAATGAATAAAGGTGGCATATAAAACGTTAAAAAAACGCCCCTTTGGGCGGAATGTAAAATCTGAAATCTTTCATATTTTTGTTTTTGTTAATTTTTTAGTAAAAGGCTTATAAAATTGTTAGTTAAGCAAAAATCATATAAGTAATGTTGTTGTAGAAAAAAGCCCCATCTGATGGACAGTCAGTATGTTCGAATGGTGTTTGGGTGTTTGCTGTATTGTATTTTATTTCACCAACCTAATGGTGTCACGACTTATAGCAATTTGACTAGTGCAGAAGACTGCGCACCAACAGATTTTGCGTAAGAAATCAGCGTACTCAGCGTAAGAAAGTAAGCATAAGTACTCAGCGTAAGAAATCTAGGATAGAGAAGCAGATTTTGCGTAAGAAATCAGCGTACTCAGCGTAAGAAAGTAAGCATAAGTACTCAGCGTAAGAAATCCAGGATAGAGAAGCAGACGATATTTGTATGATTGATGTAAATGTTAAAGGACAATCAAGATTTACTCTAGCATCCGTACATAGTCATCCATAGTTACTTCGGGAGATTTGAAGACATTCTTATTCCGTGCACTGATGAAATATTCTGAGACTACTTTATTGATAGGTGAAGAGTTTACTGCAGATACAGATGTTTCTATTATTATGACGGGAGATTACAATGCAGACGTCAAACGAAATACACTCATGTCCATAAATTAAGGATAATTCGGAGTCACGCGGAAATCGAAATCTAAAATAAATTTATCACCTGTAAAATCACTACACACATCTTCAAGAATCATATGCAAATTTCAGGAAGTAACCAGATGACACCGATGGTATGTCACTATGACGAGAGTGTAAGAGAGTGATATATAAGTCTTACAAACAAAGAAGTAAAATTGTTCGCAGTCGCTTTATAAGCATTATAGTGCAATAACCGAATAGTTATGACACAAAGGACGCATTTGAATGATTTTTTACGTGGTAGAATTATCAGCCGTCTGGAATGTGTGCGTACCCAACTGAAAGTATCAGACGAACTTGGAATTGCCCAGAGTGTCATCTACAGGCTTTGGCAACGATTCCAAGATGATGGTAATCTGAGTAGGCTTTACAGCACAGGTCGCCCCAGAGTTACAACGCCGAATGAGGACCGGTATTTGGCAGTTACTGCCAAAAGAAACAGGCGGAGCACAGCCTCAGACCTGTATCGTCAGCTCTCTTCAGCCACTGGTACGCTCCAGGTAACCGTTACCACCAAGAAAACATCATTAAACGACACCGTTACGATGGTGCAGGAGTGCTCGTTTGGGGTGGAATTATTCTGGGTTCCAGAAATGACCTGCATGTTGAAATTGGAATCATGACAAGCCAAATCTATCGGGACGTCATTCTGGAAAAACATGTACGTTTGTTTCGGGGTGCCATGGGCGCACAATTTGTGTTTATGGATGACAACGCCCGGGCTCACCGTGCAAACATCGTAAGCGAATGCCTTCAATCGGAGGATATCACCCGTATGGACTGACCAGCATTCTCACCGGACTTGAATCCAGTAGAGCACGTGTGGGACATACTTGGCCGACGAGTTCCAGCCCTCTAACCTCCTCCTACATGTCTACCGGAACTTCGGAGAGCATTGCTTTTTTGAGTGGTGTAATATCCCCCAAGATCAGATCGATAATTTGATACTCAGCATGCCTAGGCGTTGTACGGACTGTATTGCATCATCTGGGAGACATACAATGTATTAACAATCATACCAACCATGTAATATTGGTTTTTTGTAAATAGGTTTTTTTTGTAATTGCTCCAGAGAGGAAAAAATCGCTAATTTTTTTTAATAATATCAAACATGTAGCATCTTTTTTTGCTCTTTACCTTTTTTTAATAAATAAGCTTTACAAATAAGTCAAATTTGTTTTGCTTCTAACTCTTCCTTTGATTTTGCATTATCCTTAATTTATGGACATGAGTGTAAAAAGGCATTTGATTTTATGAAACATCATTTTTGTCTCCATGTGGTACCAAATAAATATCCAAGTACACTTGGCAATTCATTTACAGATTTAACATTAACTATGAATATAACTGCAGACATCTTAAATTATGCATTTTATTTCTCGCATCATCGACCAATTTTACGTAGGGGTCATTTTTAATAAGCAAATTTAGTAAATGCTGCAAAGTTTATCCTAAGTTGTTAACAGTTATTTTTAGTTAAAACCACTTTCCTATCTCTCCTAATTTCAGATTGCAATTTTCTACCAGAATGTGTTTTCAGAATCGCGGTTAAATGCAAATGAAGGAAGAGCGGTACTTAAGTCGAAGTTCCCTGACTTCGTTAGAGAGCCAGAGATTCTGACAAGAGCGCGTTCGCCTTTTTGGCTACACTCTCTCTAGCTAGTATTACGCTCGACCGTATTTCAGGCCCTTGATAGCTTCACCGTTTATTTAGCCTTTAAAGGGACAACTCCTGCAAAATTTGGATAGCTTCGGCTATATCTTTTTCGTTAAGCATTTCTTATTGAGTTCAAGCCCAAGTGGAGGCTTTAATGTACGTCCTGAGAAAGGGCCTTCTGTGAATTTTATGTTGAGCAATATAATGTAATTAACCCTTCTCGAGTTTACGTGTCTGTCTACTGAACTAAAGCGATTATTCGCTTGTCAGTTCTCAAGGTTCCACACATTTAGCTGTAAATTCTAGGTTGAACATTACAAGGTACTAAAGTAAAATATATATGTGCGTGTAAAATGTTTTGCTTGTTTCATTTCTTCTGAACCTCCTCACACTTCCGTTAGTAATCCTACGCAGTAAACACCAGAGTTTCTTTAAACTAAAATGGAAGGCCTACCGTCAGTTTTTACACTCCCTTTACAAGCCAAGCAAATTGTCTATCTAAACAAATTTTTTAAACTCAAAAAATGTTTTTCAAAACACAATATAGGCAAACTACTCACGTAAGACAAACGAGGTGTTGAAAACTCCATCAATTCCAAGGGCAACAAAGAATCTGGAAACGGCAAACATGATGAACGAAATTGAAAAAGTGCAAATAATAGCTGATGATACACCAATAAAGGCACAAGCGGCAATGGCTGGTCTTCTTCCTAATCTGTGATAGAACAATATTCAGAGTGACAATGTAACAGAACAGAGATTCATCTCATTTATGATACATAAGTGCAGATAATCAAAAAATCGCCTTTCATTCAAATTAATGTCATTTTCATAATAAACTAAGTGAAATATGAGTTAACGCTAGGTATTTTCATACTTTTCTTTCGCGATATCTTTTGAGCAAATGATATTTTTTTTGCCAGGAGCTATAGAAAGTTTTTCTTATCTAGCCCATCTTTACGAAAATTTCGATTGCAGAAATACAGGCCGGGAAAGGACTTTTAAGCCGGGTAAGGAGTGGATGGGTGTGTTTGTGGGTATATATATATATGTTACGGTGAAACACCGAAATCTGGAGAATGTCGACTTTCACCGGTGAATGTCAACATTCACATAGTCGCTTGGTGTATGTCCGAAATATTTTCCAAATACTCTTATTTCTGACTTACACCTGTCAATGTCGACATTCACCATGTACTAATGGTGAATGTTGAACATATAAGAATATTACATTTTCTTCTCCGTCATTCAGTCGCGAAAAAACGCACTTGAGACTTAAAATAAAAACTTAAGAATATAAGAACTTTAATCACACAATACATTGAAAATGAGAAAGGAAAATAATAGAAGTTAAAAACTTACTAAATTACGTGATTCAAATCTTATTTATTGCAACGACTTAAACTATTATGACACTTTGAATTTCACAAGAGGCCCTTGCTTTTACAACTGCATTTATTTATGGAACACTTCCTTTTGAAATGACAGCGTGTACATATACTCCTCTCTTTTCGACCTACACCATAGCATATCTGTGATTGTCGACATACACCGGTGAGGGTCCGAATGTACAAGAATTTAATTCAATATTCGATCTTTCACCGACGTATTTGGTGAATGTTGACATTCTCCGGGGATTTTCATTTTTTTTTTCATAAAATTCACAAAATAATGAACTTTTTATCACTTTTCTAATGATTATATTTAATTATGAGTGCAATCTAATAAAAAAATCTCATAAATTCAGAAATTAACAAACATTTTGAAAAAGGCCCTTTGAGTGAAGACGTTTATCTTAGAAATACTGACAGAACTTGGAAATATTTTCGTAAACATCTGATGTGTACTGTGAACTGTCTAAGTAAATGTGATTGATTATTTGCAGTCGCTAAAAGCGATTAAAGGGTTAAAATTATAAAAAATAAAAACTTACTTATCAGCTATATACCCAAACAAAACAACAGATACCATAACGCCTCCCATGAAGACAGATTTTAACATTGAGACTAGCCATTCTTTATCACATACCAAATTCCACTGAAAGAAATACATTTAAAATTCACCAAATGAACGAATGAAAAAAATGATTTAACATATATCCAAATAGCCAAATAATCAGCTAACCAAATAAACAGGATTTTGAAATACTCAGATGGATAATGCAGCAATTAAGATATCACAGCAGGCATCAGGTAGTAGAAAACAATGAAGAGAAAGCGAAAGAATAGTTTTAAATGACAAATAATTTTCTAAGTTTACATTCTTAGCTTTGTTTATTTCAAAGTTTCAACTTTATGAGATTCTAAAAAGAATTTCCCTTACCTGGCTGAGAAGAGTGGAAGTGTAAAATGTTTCGTCATATTCCCAAGCATCACACTTGACAAGTTCATTACTTCTGGTGACATTGAGGTCTTCCTCAAGAAGTGTTAAATTGATATCTTTGTACCTGTGGAATAAATTTCGTTTCTAAACAGCATAAATAACGAAAATTATAATCTAAACCTTCAATGTTAGAAATGTAAATGTCAAAGGCTGATCTTCGATGACAGAGTTCATAAAACAAATCCAAATCCACCATTTTTCCCCCCCTAAATAAGAAATATTTATCCCTTCTTATGTATTATAGATAAACTAAACTCATTTCCGACGCTTCCTCAAGGCCCGTCCAGACTGTTCAAAGTCTTGTGCCCTATTGGGATACTTAGTCACAGAGCCGGCAACGTCGCATGCTTTACAGCGACAGACCGGCATAAGAGTATCAAAAAAAAAAAAAAAAAAAAAAAAAAAAAAAAAAAGATAAACTAAACAATATTTCTTAAGATTTTCAGTTCTGGGATCCTAAGATATACTATATAGGAGGTTTTCATGCCTTGAACTTACCACACCACGCTGGAATGATTCACAACTGTTCGCCACATCGATAAGGACACACTATCTTCACCCACATCGCTCGTGAATTCTATAGCGGGGTTACATACATGTTGTCGGCTCAGCCGTCACCACCTGAACAACAAGGCCTCCCTTCTGCTGCGAGTGACGTCACTAGAGAGGGAACTAGTAGGCATAACAAACCGTCACGACTTGTTTCGGTGGTAACGTGCAAGCATGCTTGTAGTTTTAGCGGGAGATTTGTATATTGCATAAAAGATTTTTTAGTATTTCATTTGCTAATAAGCTGTTAAGAATGGTTTATACTCGTTGTGTTCCTAACTGTAGAGGATATTATCCAAATACTGAAAAAAATCCAGTTTTTTTCACCCCAAATCGGATTTGTTGTGCAGAAAATGGTTACATACTATATACCGGCAGAATTTCACCCCATCTAAACATTCTAAGGTATGATATGATTATTGTTTGGTGAGAAAGAGGAGTGTTATTATTACTGAATCCCCAAATTTCATCCCATAAGAAAATTCCTGTTCAATTTGCTGAAAATTTATATCATTTTGTATCATTAATGATTAAAGGAAATTGTATGCATTGCTTTTAAAATATTCAAGTGTCAAGCTATGCAGATTATACATTTTATAAATGAAAGACTTTTATGCCATTATTTTTTGCATATAAAGTATGAGGAATAATGATTGTGGGAAACTGTATTTCATATATATAAAGTGTAATTATTATTCATTGCTCTAAAAAGCTTCAGTGCATTAAATAAAATATTTTTAAAGAAAATTAAGTGTATTTTTTTTAATATCAAGCTATGCAGATTATAAATTAAAAGTATTTTATATGATTCTGAAACAATAATTTTGAAAGTAATTTTGTAATTTTTTGCTTGACTTACTTATGAACTGATCTTGAGTCTAATATTTGAAGTTCAAAACTGCCTTATTTATATTATACTTATGTCTAGTTACTAATCATTATGCTGAAAAACCTGCAAAGTTTTGAATAAATAATGCTTGAATGGAAACAGATATTTAAGGATTAAGCTATGTAAAAAAGGTTTTTTTTTTTTTTTTTTTTTTTTTTTTTTTTTTATGAAACATAGAATATTTTCTATGCTATTAATTTGCTTATCAAGGCCATGTATTCCAACAAATACTGTGAATAATTCAAAAGCAACTTAAAATTTAAAAGTAAATTGATAGTAATTCATCAGAAAAAACTTCTTAAATAGTATCAGAATCATATAAATTTAGTGTGAAAACAATCTGATAAAATTTAAAATGCAAAGACATTTTAAATACCTATAACTTTCAAAAATCTTAAATGCATAAAAAATAGCTTAAAATACTTTTACATTGAAATATGTAATTAATACATTTATTAGCTTTTTCTCAGCTCAATTTCTGTTCAGCTGGTTTCAAAACAATCAATTTTACTGCTTTCAGTAAAATCAGTTTATATGTTATGTTCTGTACACATGAACAATGCAGAAAATGTTACTCACAATTTTAAATTATTTTATGAAAAGCCTAATAATTCCTGTAAATGTTTATCAGTGATAAAATACATTGACAAATCTCTTATGAACAGTATTAGAATCTTATAAATTTAACGTGGAAACAATTTGATAAAAATTAAAATGCAAGGATCATTTTAAGTACCCAAAATTTTCGAAGATCATAAATGCATGGAAACTGAATATAAAGAATTTCTCCTAGTTGCATAACTTGAAAACTGACTTATAAATGCTTTTATATTGCAATATATCATTACATATTCACTGGCTTTTCCTAGGTTCTCTTGTTTTTGCACAATTGGTTTCAACAGAATTAATTTTATATGTTGTGTCACATTCTGTAGACAAATGTAGTGCATGAATGTCACTTACCATTACATTTCATATACTGCTAACCTAACTTTACTTACATTTCATATGTTAGACAATAACTTATAAATTCTTTCACATTATTATTCTATTTATAAGTTCTTTCTGAATTCAATATAATTAATTTTATATGGCATGCTATGTAAATAAACATAACAAAAGATATACCACCTCCTATCATATTTCAAATACTGTTAATCTCAATGTAATTTACACTTATATGCTAGAAAATAATTTAGGATATCCTCATGAATTATAATATACCACTACTTTTGCTAAAATCAGTGTTTGTTTAATTGCTTTCAAAAGTATGAAATACTATACACAAACATTATTCACAATACATCACTTTTTATTATATTGCTAACCTATTTTTACTTAAATTTCACATGTTACTGCTCAAAAACTTGTTGCTTTATTTAATTTATATAGCAATGTCAATAAAATATTAAGTAAGTGTAAATATATATCAAAACTTATATTTATTAAATTTTATACAGCTTCTAATTTTGATTATGGCATTTTGGATATGTTTTAATATTTAAGAAAAATTTTATAATTAAATCAATAAAATATATTTTTGTTATTCTGTATAATATTTCATATAAGAAAAATGGGTAAATTTTAGTCAGTCAAAATATATCCGATTAAATATCTGAGCTTTCCATGTCATCACCACCATAATGTAACACTTCCTTTAGATGATCTGTTGCTTGCAGTTTTTTCTTGTCATGATTATGTCGAAGGATATGCACGTTTAGATTTAGATATAACCACATATTTTGAACATACAGCAAACGAACTTCGTTACGGCGCTAATACAAAGTTGAAAGTGGATTTTCTTAGCATACAAGGGGAAAATAATATACATATTGCCGTTCTTACAGTAAAACCAAAAGGAATTTATTGGCTGACATGGCGAAAAATGTATGGAAACCATAATGTGCCAGTCCTTTAAATGCCCTTGAAATGTTCATGCATAAAGCGAAAATTCACCTAAATTTAATTTTTTACGTATTTTATTTACTTACATTACTTTTTATTTTTTATCTTATTATTACATTACTTTTTATTATATATTACTTACATTACTTTAAACAATGGAACTTCTAATTTTTGAAGAAAATTCGTGCTGCCTAGAAGCTGCTAGCCCATTTTTTCCTTTACCCGCTACTAGTGACGTAACGATCGCAGTGTCGAGGCCTTGTTTTTCCGGTGGTGACAGCTCAGCGCAGCCGCAAAGGAGGGATGCATATTTCCCCACGGTAACAAGGTGTTAATATGGCTGTTTGTTTTTTATCTACTTAACTGAATACGCTAAGATGGCAAATAGCCATAACTGCAGTTTAATGCAAATGACGGCTATTCGCCTTGGCTCGCATTCACGTAACACATACAAAAAAGCCCGAATATACTCATACAGCCAATCCGTTCAACATAATCTGAAACCAAGCCAAGCTACCAGTGTTTCGTAATCTGATTGACCACAGATAGACTATTATTAACATGAAAGCATGAATTTCTGTAGAATTTCTATTCCATGATTTCATGTTCTCAGAACGATTTTGTATTCCTGTAGAAACTAAAAAGAAAAGTAAAAATATCCCACATTGTCTGGATGTATGTAATTCATTCGTTGTGATCATATATTACTAGAATATATCTACAGTCACTCTATTCTTTTATCGTTGGTTCTGTAATATTTAGTAGGATTTTATCTCTAGTGGTAGCAGAATTATCTTTAGTACGATTTTTATTTTAGAAATCTCATCACTCTCTGCTTTTTCGCTGAAGCTTTGGTTTCAATGTTCTTTTTAAACGATCTGTTTTCCGATAATATTCTTCAGTGTTATTTAGCCATATACTGAAACACTAATCTCGCGGATTGCCCATGTTTTTAATATCCCATTATATTTCTTCTAATAAAGTTCTTCGTCAAATACTTATTATTGAATCAAAATTTACATTTCAATGACACGTCAACAAATTAACATTAAAATACTTTTAAAGTTTATTATATTATTTATTTAAAAAAAAGGGTTGGCTTGGTTTAGTTTAGTTTATTATGGCCAAGCACACCAGAAACTGCTGCCTGATTGGGAGGTATACCTTCGTGAAAGATCTTCTAAGAGCTTGGTTTGGTTTGATTTATTTGATCATGGCAAAGCACTCGAGGGCTATCTGCCTAAGGGGAGGAATGCCTTCGTGGAAGACATTTTAGTGGAAACTCGCTCGTATATACGTCACACATAGGGACAAACACGAAAACGCCCATTTGCCAGGCTTCAAATCTCGGACCGAACTACCAGTGTTAGCGACTTTATCCCCCCGGCCGCTGGTGGGCGATTTTATTAGAGAAACTGACTCGTATATACATGACAAAGTAAAAAATACCACGAAAACGCCCGTGCAGCCATAGCCCGGTTGCCTGGATTAGAACCTAACGGAATTACCAGTGTTCAGCGATTATACCGCTCGGCGGCTAGTGGAATTTTTAAAAAAATTGAAAGGTGTGTTTTAATATATTTATATGGCACTTGCGATATGTAAATTTTTACAAAGTTAGGCTTTTCTAAGTATATCACAGAATTCGATTTCATTAGCATATATCCTAACAATTTCTATATTTAAACTTGATGATTCTATTCCTCAGACGATTTTGGAAG